ACTGGCAGCAGCAGCCTATGAACGACACGCCGGCTTTTAGCAAAAGTGTAATGAGATTCGTTTGACAGATAGCTTTTACTTGTTTGAGTGAATGACTGTCCTGAATGACTTACTAAACACTGCTATGCTGTTTAAATCATTGTGTTCTATTGTAACCATTTTAAAATGGAAATACAGCACATTTGCTGAGTGGATAGCACTGATTCTACATTTGGGAATGTGAATCCTGCCTTCTTTCTCTCTCTGTCTGTGGAGTTTGAGTGTCCAAATGTCCCCACAATGTGAGGTAAAAACCTGTTTTTTTTTTTACATTGTTGGGGCCATTTTTTCAGTCCCCACAAGGGGAAACTCAATTATGTGAAAACTTGCGATGGCAATCAAAAAACTAAAAATGCCAAAAGTCTTGTATTTCGTTTGGTTACTTATGGTTACGGTTTGGGCTGGGTAGGAGTTAAGGATGTCATTGCTGAGATTAGGGCTCGTCTCATAGAATTTAATATTAACATGTGTGTATGTTTATGTATGTGTCCTGAAGTACACTGTCTTCCCACCCATGGTGTACCCCAGCCTTGTGCCCTGTGCTGCCTGGGACAGACCCCAGGCCCCCTACAGTCCTGATCAGGATACATGGATGGATGGATGGATGGATGGATGGAAATACTTTTACGAATACTGTAAGTTATTTAGTGCCATAACTTACAGTGGGTATTCATTTGAAAATTATTTGGCCATTTTCACTAATCTTCTTGAGTGTGAAATGCATGTTTTAGATACAACCCCTGTTGATACTGAAATACAGGTGGTAGCTGGGCAGCATTGTATCATTTTATTACCTTTTTTGGGTTCTGTCAAGGCAATTATTCATTGTCTAGTTTTCACATCCATGAAGGGTGACAGGAAATACTATATTCTGAACAATTCTGATCTTAGTTCTTAGAGCTATGGCAGTACTATTAAAGATTTTTTTTCTACACCTTTCATTGCATCTCTGGCAAGTTTCAGTCTGCATCATATATCTTGACTACTGACTACACTAGTGATCTTTTTTCTAGAAGGAAAAAGCTGTCAGTAACCTCTGTCCCAGCTAACAGAGAACATTCTCAGACCTACAGCCAAAGTTCTGTGAAGGTCCTCTCAAGGATGGCAGAGAACATTCTTACCATAACATTAGTGGAATTTTATTTCCACGTTTTACATATTAACAAAGGTTCTGTCAATGTCAGCATGATAAAATTATTACCTAAACATCCTTTATTGTTGAAAAATATTGTTTTATAATAAAAATATTATTTTATGAAAGTGCGATATGTTTATACTGAGACTGTGCTCTCCAGCCTTGGACCTGTCATCTTCACTTTGCAAAGGCACAGTGCCACCGGCTGCTCTATCATGTCCTTCATTCATTCATATATAATTATTCTTAGTTGTAATAATAGTAACATGGTGGGAACGTCAGGAAAACTGGATACTTTGAACATTTCCATACTTTAATTGTAACGTTCGATAAACATTCCTAGAACAAAAATGATTAGTAGGAGTGTCTCACCATTAGCACAGAAGCCAGAGGCTGATGAAGTGCTCATAGTGTCTGTTTTCTTCACAATAAACCATAGACTCAATGTTTCACTCTGTCCTTTGACTGCGCTTAGAAGTAGCTTCAAATCTTCATTTTCCCCTATAAATATGTTCTCATCAACACAGGTGACCACAGGTTACTGTTGGTTCTTCCATCAATCTTGAGTGCACAATTGTCTTCTTCCAGTTATTCTACCTAAAATTTGAATTGGTAGGGTGATAGCATGCATCCTCGTCTGCCTGTTTAGTAATCCAGAACCTGACAATTCAACCATTTTCCCTCCTGATCGTGGCTTCTTGTCCAGTGTAGAGATTCTTTAAAAGGACCATTAGATGCTCTGTTACACCCATTTTCCTGAGAACATGATTCCTGGGACACAGTTTGACATGATCAATGCAATCAAAGGCTTTGCTATACTTTTAAAATACCTTTTGACCTCTTTTGTTATTCCTTGTTTTTCGTTTTATTACCCATCATGCATCAGATGTTTATTGTTCCTTGGCCTATGGGTCTGTTGGGATGCCATGAATCCTCAAGGCCTTTTTCGGTAGTGATCTCAGGGTTAATCTGACCTCCTCATTCATTACTGAAGGTTCTTCCGTGTATATGACCTTATTGATCGCATCTTGGTTGTTGATACCTTAACTGAAAAAGTCTTCTGTGTATTGCTTTTTCTTAACTTTTCTTAACTTTCATCCACACTCGAGGTTGAAACTTTTCATTAATCATAAAGATGCCTATTTTCTCCTTATTATATACTATATATAATATTTCATATATAATATGAAAACATGATTTTCTTCTCCTATCACCAGCCTGGGTCAGGGTTACTTTTACAAATAACTAATTTATTTTTGTTCACATATGAAAAGGCAAACTAAATGATGACGAACAAAAGAATCCCCAAAATTGTTTTTCTTCATTCTTTGATGACTTCAGCAAGCTCTTTGAACATTTTAAGTGCTCATTTAAGCCTTTCCACATTTTAAGAACAAAATAAAAGAGAACGATCAAGTAAGTTGTGCAAACAGGTCAAATGTAGTCATTGGTTAGGCGGTCTATAATTTTAGGAACAAAGCAAATGAGTATCACAGCCCAATAATAATAAAAAAAACCTTTTACGTGGCTATCTGTGTCACGTTCGGGGACGGGCGAGACGGGAAGCAAGCGAGTTGAGCCAGACTGACGAGTAGAATGGGGGTTTATTCGCAGACGGACAGACAGGCACGGACAATACAATGCCGGATCTGGCAGACATGGGGAGACGCGGACTAATATACACAAGACTAGGTAAACGGAACAGGCAACAGGTGAGAACCATCAGGGCTGAACACGAGGTAATGAGGGGGGCGTGGCACACATCGGGATCGTACGGAGCGGGATATGACAATCTGGAATAAGTACTGATCCCACTTTGACATAAAATAGATATTAGATATTTGTTTATTTTAGTCATGTGATGCCAAAGAGCCTGTACAAAGCTTAAACATACAGCCTTTTTGGCTGATGTCTTGCTTTTGAGCACGTAACGAGGTTTGCATGAACAAAACACCGCCATCATTCTTTGTGTTGTGTACATCTGCAAGGTCGCAACAGTCATTGCAGACATGATGGCATCCAGTTCTTGTTATATTTCATCATTTTGTACATTTTAGTTTGAGCATTCAAGAATATGAGAGCTATTATTCCATGTGATTGGCTACAGGTCTGAATCTTCCTGCCAATAAATGGAGGGTATCCTCTTCCCGACCAATAAAATTCTGGAAAGACATACTGCATAAACCGATCTGACTGAAGTTTCATGTCCAGAGGAATTTACAGATTTTCCCTGCGGTGTAACAAATTACTTTAATGTTATTGACACAAATGGTATGGGGTCTTGTAAATATTGAATGCTGAGGTTAAGCTGGTAATTAAGAACCTCAAATCTGACTAACCCATTAAACAGATTTTAATGCTCAAGTTGTTACGTAATCACTCGTGTTCCCCCCCCCCCAGCCCGGTGCATCATGCACTCACGGACATTTACACTCAACATGCGGAACACGTGTAGGATGCCATGAACACCTCCCAGTGAGAATGATAGCTCAGCATGTCTAATGCAATGAGCCAAAAAGGACTGAATAATCAACAGAACATGACCTTCTACAAACATCTGCGTGAAATCCCCAAACCGCAAAGATGTTAAGTAAACCACGGGGTGACATGAGTCGGGGGAGTGTTCTCAGGTGACTATCATGCACTGCGACTGACAGCAGACAGCGTAGTCACTCGATAGGTGCTTGATATTTCCCTGGACGCTTATGAACCACAAGTTCAGATACTTCTAATTATAAAATCCGCATATCTCCTGCAGTAGTGTCGTTTTACACTGCTTAGTTTTCTCAGCCTGTGTGCATTTCGTTAACCTCACATAAACAACACAAACGTCCCGCTTTTTGTTTTCTAATTTAATGACTACTGTACTACTTTTTAATAAACATAAAAACATGAGTGTCAGGGAATGCCTTGGTTGCACATTACATAGCTGCAAATTGGTACAGACTTCAATTCGGAAAGCGGTCTTTGTTTGTTAATATTTCGCCCCCGTTGACTGCTGCTTTTTGACCAACAAAAGCTTGCGTGGGCTTAACAGAACAGGTATATTTATACTCAATATAGTAGTGATAGTTTAATAATTTTAGATACTCTTTTAAAATTGTGTCGTTTTTGTTTTTATTTTAACAGGTTCACATAGAAATTAACATCCAGATCAGCTGATCTAATTCATACTGATTATTGCTGTAATGTACCGTGTGTTCTGCACTTCTGTTGACACTTGGAAAAATTTCACCAGTCAGGCATGGAACAAATTTGGTTTTATTCAGATCTATAATTCTAAAAAAAAATAGTATTAGAACAAAGACCATTTTCTCATTTGTTCATTCAGTTGCAATAATTTCTCATCAAACAGTTTCTTTTGAAGTGTAAATGATTCACTAATAATCCACGTCTTCTGCTCAGAGAATAAATATAAGCAAATACATTTTTTAATAGTATTCTGTCACACATTACAAATACCAGCAAAAAAGCTCTCTTCCACACTGATTTTGGAAATCCAGGGTATAATTGTAGATAATTGGATGATTATGGCAGATGTTTTAATACATTTTTTTGCGGTATTTGATTTTATCCTCTTTCCGTGATTACTGTCCACGTGCTCCTGTTAAACCTCCTGAAAGCCGCACATAGTGGGTGAGGCTGGCTGACCCCTCTGTATAATACAGGCCGCTTGTGTTTGACATACACATGTTCCGGGGGTCAACCTCTGTCACGTAGGAAAACCCAAGCTGGGTGCTTCTGGTCTGATACTCTTTGGTGAGGGAATCCCTCTGAGGGGTGTGATGTCATATCAGCTGGCACTACTCTCTCTCTCTTCCCCCAGGCTCCCTGACGGTGTCCATCACAGACATGAGAGCCCCAGTGGTGGGAGGATCCGGCGGGGTCTACGCGCTGTGCTCCGCACACCTGGCTAATGTCGTCATGGTAACTGCCATCGTTATCACCGTTATCGGGATTAGCTGGAAGTGAGTGAGGGGTGGGGCGGGCGGAGGCCTGGAAGAAACCAGGCGAGAAGATGCAGCTTTTATTTTCTTTGCTCAGGCAGGCCGGCCTTTGCGCACTTATTTGCCTTTGTGTCGGGCTGATCGCGGTCCGCATGCCCACGCAGGGTACGCACTCAGCTCCTTCGACGCCATGAAAAACGGCTGACGCGCATTTATCCGCATCGCAAACAGCAAAGCAATCAGGACACAAACGCGCTCCTGCCTGCCTTTGGGCGACGTGTTTGGGGAGAGGCTTCCCTGTGATTTATCATCAGCTGACAGCCCAGATTGGCTGCTGCAATGTCCTATCTTGCTCTAATAATGTCACCATCGGCTATATAACCGGGTGTCATCTCCATATTGATGGTCCCCACTGGATATGCAATGGCATCATTTGCATTTAGCTGAGTATTAAATCACAGACAGTGGGGCCCCTGCAGAAATGTTCTGATTTATCTTCATAGCCACAATTGAACAGGATTCCTTATTTTATTTTTAAAGCAAAACAGATCATTTGTGTCACTAATGTTTTTGATTTATGTATTGTTCTGGATTATTTTTATGCGAATATGGGAAGCTTTTACTTATTCCAGATTTTCTTTCTGTACTCCTGTGAATACAATTCACAAAGATAGATAGATAGATAGATAGATAGATAGATAGATAGATCGATCAATCGATCGGGGGGAGGAGCCATGTGACTTTGAGCCCCTGCAAATCTCTGAGAGTCATGGGACCACTTTACAAAAGTGCACTGAATAACTATACCAGCATGTCATGTGTCTTACGTAATTGCAACATTGTGGGAAATTGGGAAACGAAAATGAGCCGATTCAGAAGGAGAATTCTAAGCTTAATGAGAAACAAATGGACATATTGTGTATACTATTATCAGCCCTGAAAAATTCCAGTTTTACACCAACCTGCCCCAAGTCGCTATGCACAGACACATGAATGATTTCTCAGATCTATGCGTGTTGTGTCTTTCGTCCTGGGGAGCTGCACCAGCGGGCCGCATGTGGGCGTGTGGCTCCGTATTTCCTGCTTCGATAAAATGCCTGGATTTAGTACACAAAGCAAGTCCTCTCTCTTTAGCACTATGGAATGTCTGCCTCCCTGACAAACTTATCACTGACTTGTGGGCATTATTATAAATTTATGGGCACTGCCTTGGGCTTATTACACATTTCGGGAGGGTATTTAATAGGTCCTTTCTTTATTGGTTTTCGCCCGGATCTTTAATCTCGCATGCTGCTTATTCCATGTCTTTTGCAGAAAAAAAATGTTTGTGAGCCCAAGCCCGCCTCTTGATAGTGACAATTCTTCAAGCACATAGTCAAACTTTTGCAGCAGTAAATTTTTGCTTTCAGAGCTTATGTCAGGTGACTTTCAGATCCAGAGAAATCATTGCATCCCCTATTAATTTTATGGGGGACCAACATGATCTGTGGTGCACCCTAGTGGCGGGAGGCTGGAATTGGAGGAAAAACATTATTATATTGACCACAATCTGCCATGCTGTGTTGCAGAACTGGGCTGGAATGCGCTGTCCATACAAGCTGCTCCGGATGATCCTGGCTCTCGTGTGCAGTAAGTCTATCAGATGATTGGAATTCTCCCATATCTAACCTGTAATAGGTCTATTTTCCAAACGCCAGCTAAAGGCATGCGAATGTCCCTCATGGCTGGATTCTTACTTCCTTTGTGGGTCACCTGACCGTGGCAAGTCCAATCAAGGATGCTCTTGTCGTGGAGGAACCTCCCAGGTGATGACATCACCGATGCGGCATGACTGTTCTCTCGCCCCCTGCAGTGAGCTCGGAGGTCGGCCGTGCAGTGTGGCTACGATTCTCCCCACCCCTGCCCTCCTCCGGCCCCCAGCCCAGCTTCATGGCCCACCTGTCTGGAGCAGTGGTGGGTATCAGCATGGGCCTACTCATCCTGCGCAGCTACGAGGAGAGCCTGCAGCAGCAGTGCTCCTGGTGGGTCATCGTCTTCTCTTTCATCACTTTCCTTCTGTTCGCCATATTCTGGAACATCTTTGCCTATGAACTCCTTGGGGTGCAGATACCCCCTCCGCCCTGAAGAGGACGCCCTTCTTTCACCTTTCCAGTGCGCTCTATGACTAACCTCATCCTGTTCTCCTCCTCGGTTTCTTAACTCCAGACACATTGGAACAGGTTCTTAAAAGAAAACAACAAGAAAATCATTGTCCGAGGATAGAAGTTCATTCTACCAATTTTTTGGGGGAAGGGGGGGGGGGGTACTTTTCATGGGAATATATGCGATCTGTAGTTTTGTAAACCTTTCCCATTGTACCAACTAAAAAGTCAATTCCCTCTTCACTGTGGTAACCTCATTCCTCTCATGTTGATCCTGACTCTCCGGGCAGATTTGGAGAAGATTCTCCTTGGGGTGTTTCTGTAGATTTCAAAGGAAGGTCTGCTGATACATGAATTGACTTTATGTCAGAATATGGGAGGGAAGCTCTTGAGGTACCAGTTACTTTAGCCTTGAGGATCCAGCATTTGCACTTTTGACTCTCGAGGCACGATGGTTTTCGGTATTAAACTAAAGGTAAAAACAAACTCACTGTGTTAATCAACAGCCTGAGAAATGTACTATACAGATTTCGTCATGATTAATAAGGGCAGGAAGAGAGCAGGAGGAGAAAACGAGATGATTATATATGACACTCTTGAAATCGACTCGAGGGAGAATGAAAGCAGTGCATACTGTCATATGCAGCACATCTATATATCTTCAGTTTAGAGTGAGTGTTGCCAGACGCTTTAGTAGACCTGCAGACGCCCATACTAAGACCATATAATACTGATTACGAAGACAATTAAAATGTCCTGATCATCTCCGGTTTCACCCCAGATGCCAAAAGTCATTGGACATTTACAGAGGAGTTCCTTTAGTGGTACCATCAGATCAGCCTGATTTCTTATGTCAAAGGGGCAATATGCAAAATACCATTGCTTTGCCTGCTCAGCCACTGACAGACCTGCCAAGGGGGTGTGGACAGACCACCTGCTGTCCCAACCCTCCATGTCCACATCAGAGGCCATTAGTGCCCAACTTATACCTCAGTGTCCTAAGGACTGTATACTTTTGTACAGGAATGTACTGAAAGTTATTTTAATCATCTTATTTCTTGGGTTTCTTTTTTCATATCTGTATTTTGTTCACTGTCTTCAATACTTCATTATTTTCCTTCGGAGGAAAAGGGATGATGTTTCAAATGGTGCCAAATTGTTACTTTCTTATGCCTGTTACTGTTGCATTGTTCTATGATTCTTAGTAAACATCCAGTAAAAAAGAATATATCGATAAAATTACGAATACTTGGACAAATAATAGTCTTGGATCATTCCATTTTTTCTTTTTCTTTTTAAAAAAAAAAAAAAAAAACAATCAAAACGAGCCATGGGGAGATCAGCATGGACATATCCTGACAACTTTGCAGCAAGTTAGGAACAAAGAAAAACAATAAAAGTTACACAAAACGATTTTAAGCCTTTTCCTAAAATTGGTTACAGCATATAGGTCAAATATTAGACACATTTAAAATTTTCATTAAAATTTAATAACAGAATATAAGCAAACCACATGCATGTGCTACAAGATATATTTAATAAATTCTTAATGAACCTTTTTCTGTTTAGAAAAATGGGACTATGATCAATACAAATGTCCATAAACATGATAATATTGGTCTGCTGAATTCCATGTAAAGATTTATTATGAGTCTCATACTACAGCGACTAAAGATTTAAATATTTTCCCAGAAAGTAAATGGTGTAAATTAGCAGGCAACAGAAACCAGCAAAGGTCACGGGCATATTGGAAATGTGTCCTTTAAGCTTTAGTTTAATTTACCTTCAAAGGTTATACCTAACTTTAACATTGTCAGTTAGCTGACAATGATCACAACACCAATAAAATATTGGCACTGCACTGATCATTCTACAAATCTCTAATGAACTTTTAAATTTCCTTTGATATTTCTTTGTTCCTGCTTATAGGTCAGAAAGGGCTTGTTAATTAGCAATTTGAAGAAAGTTCTCTTGTCAATGTCACATGACTCACGTCCGGGGGAGGTACTTTGTGTACTGTTGCATACTGCCACATTGCCCTTCTCACATCGAACACTGACCTCTGATTATTTTACTGCGGGGTGACGATGACCTTTCTAGCAGAAATCTATTTCAAAAGTGTGGACATCTCTGTCTGTGTTGGATGAAATTGCCGGCATCTGCTCTGACCATAAACAGCTCCTGAAATGCAGAGCACTATCTTCTACTGCGCAGTAATGCAAAGCGATGGAGATTGTTGGGGGAGTGGATTGAAGTGGTTAGAATGCCGCTGAGAATTCTATGAATGCTTCGAATTCTGCTCTAAAAGGGAAGGTGTGCAGCAAAATCGGGGGCTAAGAATTAATTTTGTATAGTTAAAGACAAATAAAAAGGAAAATTGATCACAGTGAAGCAGAAGAGGTTTGATGTCATGTTAACTGTAAATTAATATATGCACTGAAGCAAAATTCAAAAGTCAAATTAGCGTCAAGTAAAGTTCTGAATAAAACTGGTTAAGGGCTAGACACATTAAGGGATGCCTTTAATTCCCTATAAATTTGAGTAAATAATGATGAAATGGGAAGGGGTGAACGGCGACCGGCTGCGGTTTGTAATTAAGGTTTGTTTGTTACGAGGGTGCAGGGTCTCAAGACTGTGAGAGGGTGTGTGTTGGGACAACATAGTGGACTGGATTATCCTGCACTATTAAACACTGCCTGGTATGGCCCAAAGGCAAGCCACTAAAGTGTTTATTGGGAGGTGAGTTAAACCCGCTGTGATTGACTTCTCACAATAATCCCACCCATTGTTGGTTTCAAAGCCTAGTATCTCCTTATAGTATTTTTTCAAGGGTCAGATATCATTCTACACGTTAGGGTTTTGGCATTTTTACTTGAACACTTAATGATACTACAATGACCACCATGCAGAGACTGTTTTCCTTGGTACTGTTGGCTAAATATCGCCACTACCTATCTTCAGCCATCATATCTGATTCTATCGCAAACATCGGGATGTAAGAGCGATTGTCTTGATCCATGGGCGGTATTGATGACTCCAAGGCAACAGGCTGAGCCAGATGCCCTGCATATGACACAATTAATGCGATGTAAATACAGAAAAAGACCAAAAACACCTTCTAGCCTCTCCATAGACTGTAGTGGTAGACAGAGTTACAGAGAAAACAGTGATGGCGTGAAACAAGACCTGTTATGTTTCGTGTTTTCATTGCATGAGAAAGTGTTGCAAAAAAAAAAAAAAGCAGCAGAGGTGGGTAGTGAGGAGGAGAGAGGCTGTTCCTGTAAACCTTAGGAAATACTGTTTGTAGATACGTGAGCTGTGGCTTCTTCCTAATTGTACAGTTTATTTTCAGAATTTTTGAGAACGTTTTCAAGGGAAAATATTTACAGTGAGGTTAAGGAACTGAATGAGTCAGACATGCCTCCGTTCAAAAACGGCTCAAATTATGGGGGAATTTGAGCATCTGTTAAGAAAATATAATGTGGCTACTGATGTAAACCAGACACATCCTTGAAGGTGTGTGTCAGTAAGCTGGAGATGTTTATTTCCTGCTGCTACATCAGTGACAAGTATGCCTAATTACCTGGCACTAGGACCTAACCCTAAGACAGCTTTACCGGAACGTCCTCTATGAGCCAGCATCTCCTGGATATTCAGCTTACAGAAATGTTTTTTAATCCAGAGCAGCATTTACACAACAGCTAGTGAAAATAAGCCGTGCAAGTCAGATACAAGGTGTATAGCTAGTGAAGCTATCTTCAGCTAATCTATTGGCACAGTCTAATTGATCTCTTTACTGAATGCTCCTGCTGAGGTGCAAGAGCAGACGTGGAATCACGGAGGTATTGAAGTACATTTATACTTCCAAGAGACGAATCCATTTGTCTGTTTTAGGTGTACACACCACTGCCTTAGAGGAAACGGCGGTTTGTAGCCAACCACATCTGAAATTAAATTAGTGATTACTATGTTTAGAGAAAGAAGGCATGCATACAGAAAACATCTGACGCTGTGTAGCCATATTTGTGAAAAATCAGTTGATTTTACCAGGCGGTGACTTTACAGAATCTGGATATTCTAAGCCTTTTCTTGGCTTTTTTCACAATAAGACAGAGGAACATACACTGACACTATTTGGGAAAACCTCATTCATTTTTGAAAACCCTGACCAGGATTTCACTTTCTCAGCTTTAATCACCTTGTGCAAAGTGTAATTCTTTGATGTAATTACTGCTGTAATTTGGTGTTGTCATTTTCAAGGTTTAAAAGTCTTTGACTTGTCTTTTTGAAGTGTTACTTCCTAATGTTAAAACCTCTGTCTTTTGAATTCATTTGGAGTATTGTACACATTTACTGTGAGAATTCCTGGTGTCCGTTTGAGATCCTTCAGTTTGGTTCCATGTTTGACGACTTCCTATTGCTAGCCTATTAAGAGATACCTTTACCTCAAGGAAACATTATTGATCAAAACTCACAAAGCAAAACCAGCATAATGATTACCTTTCACAGGAAGACTCTCCCATTTTGGCCAGTTCAAACCATGCTAGGGAAGGCCATTTGAAGAGGCTGCATTGTGTTTACCTGTTCTCAGACTGGAAGGGAGGCAGGGAGACCGGCTGCTGAGAAGTCATATATATGTGTATATATTCGCTGCTACCGTAGTTTCCATATTCCTCTTGCTATAATAAATCTGGTGCCAAGACAAGGGGAAGGATGAACATATCTAAAAATCCAGATCCAGAGGTTGTACCAACCCATCGTTTACAATCTTGCTATGGAAAGAAAAAAAAAAAAAGTATTTTTTTCTGATTCAGAAACTGCTACAAATTAAAAATGTAAATATAGTTTATATTATATTCTACGATTATTTATTGGCGTATTGTACTTTATAAATGTAACTTAACGATTTTATATTGTATATAATTTTGTTTTCTTTTGTACTGTTCGTTGTACTTGCTTTCATTTAGAAACCACACAAATAAAGAGCTGAGACGTGGAGAAGCCCTTCCAATTTCTCGCAGGTCTGTTCAGTGTCCTCTGGCAGCCTTGACTCCCAGGTTGGGGGCTTCCAGCCATAACGATCCGCCCGCTCATGGGACCCGGTACGTGCCCTGCTTGCGATGGCTGTATTTCTCAATGCGGCACGCCCCATCTGGAGCCACTACTACTATCGACAGTGTCCAGGACCGTGGCTGACACAGAAGCATCCCCAAGCTGCCTGCTGCCCGACTTTATTATGAAAGCACCGATGCAGACCAGGCTCCAGGAATAGCTGCATCCCAGCCCGTGTCTGCAGAACCTTCAAACGCGGCCAATTTACCGTCCCCATCTTCAGCAAATCAATTCCACATACAACAATCACAGTGCAGCACAAGTCGAGCTTTTTAAACAAAGGCTGCATATTTAAATCAAATAAAGCAAAACTCGCAGGCAGTCAGAATGTCTGCACTGTAAGTAGTTTATTATACAAAAGTGGGTATTGAAAAAATAAACAACTGTATTTAGCTTTTAGTGCAACATTTGACTTTTTAGGACAGTCCTTTGATTCAGAAATGTTTGTAAGGTTTGTTCACATATTTATTCTTTAAATGTGGATAAAAACAAAGAGCAGTAACATGGTAGGTATAGTCTAGTTGGTCCTCTGCCTCTTGGTTGGTCTCCTGCTGCTCTCCACAGCCTCCTCAGGGCTCTCCTCCTTGCAGAGCTCTTGGAGCAGGGAGGGCTGCAGCTGACCGGCCACAGCCCAGGCCCACAGACAGAGCTCCACCTTGTGGGGTGTCCAGTTCTTTTCACTGTCCGCTGGATGGAAGGAGAGGAGAGTGGCCAGTCACTTAGCAAAGCCTTAGTGTTTCTGTGTTCTGTCAGGTGACCCAAAAGTGAAGAACAGACTGGACATTCTGGGTAAGGAAAAAAAAAACACAGATATGCACTGCTGAAGCAGCTTCCTTATTCTTCTGGCATTAATAAATCTGATGCCAAAACAAGAGGGAGGAGGAACAGATCTAGAAACCCAGATCTAGAGTTCCTTCCAATCCATCACTTGCAATCTTTGGCTATAGAGGAAAATATATTGTGTATATCTGATCAAAAAAAGTAGAAGGAAGGACTTATCTTAAAAATGCAGATGCAGAGATGGGAAGGAGAGCCCTACCTTCGTTGAGCGAGCAGCTCCGCTCCACCACCCTCTGCAGGTACAGAGAGTAATGCTTGGCTGTGTACTGAACGGGCTTTAAGTACGGAATGCTTTCCACCGCCTCGTCAGCCATGAAGGCAGCGAGCTCAGGAGAGCCAGCAGCCAGAACTGCTGTGGTTGGATGGGTAGGGATGAAATGGTGAGATATTTGACATATATAAGCACTGTCACCATAAGTATAATACTCCAATATCAACAACTAGAAGAAACTTATATAAGACTTACATACTATTTTTTACATTTTTTATCTAACCTAAGAAGCAACTACTGATTTTGCTGATGCAGCAGGACCTTGGTGACATTTGGCTAATTGTTAACCTGATGCGGTGGCAGGCCCCAAGGCCTTCAGAGAGCTGAGCTCCGTGATGGCCGCCTGGATGTCCGGCAGCAGACTGAAGGCCTTCTTGGTGCACTTTTCCACGGTCTCGCTGGGATTGGTGGCCACCAACTGCTGTAGCCTCGGCCGGAATTTCCCCCTCTGGGACCAATGTGGCAACAAAATGGGAAAAGGTTCACATTCCACGCTGGGCCATGTAGCTTCAGACCTCAGGGGATGTCAACTGCATTTTAACTTGAGTAAATCCCAAACCTTAAACAGCAGGCGAAGTCACTTACCGAACCAAATAATTACTGCAACAAAGCAGTTAGAGGCCAGGCAGAAACCAGCAGAACGTACATCGCTCAAAGACCACTCCTGAAAATCCTAGTTTTCTCCAAGCAAATTGTGCTTTTTTTCATAAAACTGCCAGCTAAACCTCTTCCTCAAGTATGTTAAATGCACATATACATGTACACTCACCTAAAGGATTATTAGGAACACCTGTTCAATTTCTCATTAATGCAATTATCTAATCAACCAATCACATAGCAGTTGCTTCAATGCATTTAGGGGTGTGGTCCTGGTCAAGACAATCTCCTGAACTCCAAACTGAATGTCAGAATGGGAAAGAAAGGTGATTTAA